TGCATGGAGACATCTGAGTCTCTTCATTGGACACGGCAACAACATTCACATTTCCAAGCATACCTTGGATGATGTTACAAGTAGAAGACAAATGTGGGAAATTATGAGAAAAAAACAAAATATGCTTCTTCTTCTTTCTACCCAATCCTCTAAGTCTGTAGATCTTTAATATATAAAACTATATAGAGTAGAGCCTTCATGAGAGGACACCTCTCTACAAAGGACAGTTTTCATTGCCAAAAATACCATTTTTACTATTTAGCAACTTTCTGTTAAAAGGACACCTCTCCCTAAAGGACACTTTGGCTCTGCAACTAGGTGTCCTTTACAGGGAGGTTCTACTGTCTTAAGGCAAATACACTAATGGGCAAAACTTGAGAAAGTTGTATCTTTTAGCATATATATTGGGATTTGACAATAACTGAAAGATATTTGATACACTATGACCTTTATTGAAGACACACAAGATAACCAAGGGTGAAAAAAATTGTCTCTGTCTCCGTCAAAAAAAAAAAAAAAGATGGCCAGCGACATCAGACTTTCCACTTCCTTAAGTTTTGTCCATGAGCGTATTTAGAACTATTAAGGTGAATGTTTATTTTTCCGCCTTTGCCGGTCCCAAGCCCGGATGAAAAAGGAGGAGGGGGAGCAGTAACAAGCTCGCTAAAAAACCTGGGTTCAGCTGGCCCGGCTGATAGTACCCTGTAAGGGCTCCTAATCCAGGGATACAGGATGAGCAGCATTTGTGCTCCATGTTAAGAGCAGCTGTGCATGGCGTCTGTTCCTCATGTCAGAGGCGGCCATTTCTTTTGGAGCTAAGTCGGCCTGCCACTGAGTAGTGCTCCCAGTCTTAATGACAAAGGCAGACACATTCTACTTCACCCAGTCTTGATGGTTGTCAAACAGACACCATCAAGGGTCACAATTTGATACCCTAATATGATTGAGTGGAGATAAGAAAGAAGAAGACGAATACTTCCTTAAGTTTTGTCCATGAGTGTATTTAGAACTATTAAAGTGAATGTTTATTTTTGTCAAATAAGACAAATTTTATACTGATTCTAGTGCAATGATTGGGAGGGCTTGGTTCATCAGCTGGGAGTTCTCGCACCAGTTGCTAAATACAGATGGAGCACTAGAACAAAGTGTATTCAATAATTCCTTCTATCAATATGGAGTAAAATTATATCAGGCATCCAGGTAAAAGTGTCTTTTCAATAACTTATTTATTATCCAGCTTTCAGGAATGAACACCCTTCTACAGGAGAAAACCTGGTATGATAATTCACCAATAGAACACGAGTTAAAATATAATGGGGTACTATTTTACATAATTTTATAAAAATACTGTAGATAAATACAAAATTTTTATATTTGACTGTCGGTGGATGAGAGGGTAACACGCTCGATTCCCGACAGTCATGAACCGGGATTGAATCCCGCGTTAAAATTTTTTTAATATGTGAATAACCTTCACATATTATTCACTATTTCAATTATCATGAACTAGGTTGCTCTTGCTGAGCGGTACCTATTAATGTGAATTTGAACCAGGTTCATATTTAACTATTATATTCTTCAACTTAATGTAGTATAGCCATCACAGAGATCAGCCATCATGGTGCACCATGGTCTAAGTGATTCCTTTTGTTGTGTCTTTGCATATTTGTTCTTTGTGTAGAACAATTTACATAGTTTCAGTTTAACATATTTGTGCTATAAATAGGACTATGGGTCAAGTTGAGGAGTCCAGTCCAGCCATAGTCTTGTTGTCTTAAACTCCTTTTGCTACTGTAGTTTTAGCTTGGCAAATAACGGATATTTGTTTCAAGCAAAAGAGTAATTTTGTGGCCCAGAGCAACACAACACCTTTATCCATCTTCAGAACTTCCATATGCTTTGTTTAACACTATTAATGAATGTTTTTAATAATCATAATCTTGTAAAGAAATCATTCTTCCTAAAAACAAATTAAGATTTTTTTTTACCTTTACTTTTTTTAAATTTCCACCTATTTTAGACTATTTTATTATAAGAGAATTTATACTAGAGGAGAATTTCATTTATTAATTTATCATTGCGTCTTTCTCCTAGCAACTTGTTTAGAAACTTTCTTCATACAAATTGGACTCCATGAAATAACAGTCTCACTAACTCTCTACAAAGGACAGTTTTTATCATTACAATTAATGATAAGATACAATTTGAAGTACAGTAGACTCTCCTATAACACTAGTTTTTACAACGCGATTTCGTACAACGCGATAAAAAAATTGCGACAAATTTATTTATATACAACGTGAATTTTCGTACAACGTGATATTTGTCACTAACAATTTACCCTAACAACATTTGCGTTATACAAGTTTTATTTTGTACAACGCGAATTCCTATAACACGATTTCATACAACACGGAACACATTAATCTCGTTATAGGAGAGTTTACTGTATAAACAATAGACAATTAAAATAATTTTATTGACATCTTGTCAATACATGCAAAAGTGCACAGTCTGTACTATTATAAAAAGATATTGATGTATATACACATGATACTATGTACAATGAATATGGTGCACTCTACCAGCGCTGCAGAGTTTGGTGGAGAATCACCAGCGGGGCTCCAGCAAACACCACACAATTGAAGTATAGCTTAGAAACACAAGGTAATAGGATCACACAAATCCAAATGAATAAAGTTTGGGACATTTTGGTAACATTCAGTACTTTGTCTAATTATGGTAACAACGGCGTTGCCGAAATGTCACACACTATTTTTTGGATTTGTTCTTATTACGCACACACCTTGGGTTACTACACAATTAACATTTTATTAATATTCCACTTTCCAGTAAGAGGACATCTAAAGGAAACTTTGGCTCTACAACTAGGTGTTGTCCTTTACAGGGCGTTAGTTCTACTGTATATACAGTATATATATAAAAATCAATGTTTGTTTGTTTGTTTGTATGTCCGGTATACAAATTCGCAGTAGTTCGCTAATTCAAACCAAAATTTCCATACATAGGTAAAAAAAATCTGGGGAAGACGATAGGCTATTTTAAAAAATATATAAATCAATTATTAAAACTATATATTCAAATTAATAGGCAAATTAAAATTATATAAAAGTGGATATTTTTTATTTCAGTACAATTTAGATTAAATTATGCTGATGCAAACAAATAGATAATGCTAATAACAAACAATTATTTAAAAAAATCTTATCTAAATATATATCACTCGGGTAGATATGCACACGGATCAAGCCTGGGTCACCCGTCTAGTACAGTATAATCTACATTAATTCAATATTACTATAGTTCAAGAGACTGCTTATAATTTCAAAATTATTATCCAGAAGTGTTACAAGAAAATAAGACCTAATTCAAATAAATTAATAGTGTGCAATGTTTTGGCAACAGCGTTGTTACCATCACATTAGAAAAAAGAATAAATGAGTCAAATCTTAAATCTCATTTATTCTTTTTTCTGATGATGGTAACAATGCTGTTATCAAAACATCACACACAGGTAATTTATTTAGATTAGGTCTTATTTTCTTGTAGCTATAATCTATAATCCAAATTGTACTTTATGACCCAGAAGTGTTAGTACAGTATTGTAGTCTCCCAAAAGAGACGCTAGTCTATAAACATCACTAAACACTGCCTATCATCTGATACTATTTCAGGTGAAAGACTTATGTGAAAGAAAACAGTACAAAAGTGAAATTATATATAGTTTGACGTTCTCACTTAAAGCTCCAATTTATTTCAGAGTTATATTTATTTTGATATTAAGCTTTTAAATTTTTGGTGTTTCTTATCCCTTTGTGTAAAGATTACACAAATTCCATGAGTTCATGCTCTTCAAGCTGTTTTATGATAAGCAGCGGCCTCTCCCAAAGGTCCTGTTTAGTGCATCTAATGCAAGCCAAAATGTGTTCTGGAGCTGCAGGTGCCAAGCTACATTTTGGGCAAGTGGGGTAGATTTTGTTATTATTTTCTATCTTCAATGGCTTGAGATGACCTTTTCTAAATCTTGTTAGTGTTGTTTGATGCTGTCTATTTCTGAGGTTCAGAGTTCCTCCTGGGTTCACTCCACTGTACCAACTGTGCTTAGGTGGGATCCTCCAGTTCTTGTTTATTTTTGTTTTGGCTATTGTTTCTATTTATTTAAAAGTAAGTTTATTTTTCTGTGGCAAGGGTTCTTTTGTGCCTTTTTTTGCTAACACATCAGTATTACCTTCACTACCAACATGAGTTCTTGGTGTACTATAGGGACCTGGGTCTGGATATCTTTATTCTGTATATTTCTGTATGTACAAATAATTTTTAACACATTTTTTTTTCTTTAAATGTATCATCACATGTGGTGATAGGCTAAAGCTCTAGTATATAAATCTAATTCTATATACAGTTACGAGCGTCATTCTTCATCTCCTCAGTTTTCGTCTCTGTCACCATTTGCTTTTTTTTTTTGGAATGGCGCCCTCCTATTGGTTGGCTACGATCATGCCACCTTTGCCCCCCCCCCCCCCACTCACTTTTTCGTTTTTGTAACTATTGTGTTGGAGCGGGTCGCTCCTTAAATAAATGCATATATTAGTTAATAACCAAATGGATTCCTCTCTTTCTTTTTCCCAGTAAGAGACGCCTACGGAAGCCAACAGTACATAGACAGATAAAGCACATAGGCTATAGTTATTAACTAATATATGCATTTATTAAAGGCGCCAAATTTATAATTGTAACAAATAGTATTTGAATAAAAACATTCAATCGGGTAAAACACGGGCGTTGCCCGGGTGTCATTCGGCTAGTATTCTATATAGTTCTAAAGTTAGAAATAGTCGTTATTTCTCTTTAAAATAAATTTCGATTTTTGTTTAAAAGAAACATTCGCGGTATAATTGCAATTTTCGTTTTACAATCATCAGCCGCGTTATATTGTATTTTAAATTACTTTATATAATATTTACGAACGGAGAAATATGTCCAGGGTAGCCTAGTGGACATGGCATCTGCCCGGTAAGTGGAAGGTCGTGGGTTCGATTCCCGCCCCTGGACACTTTTATTTTTCCGTTCGCCATTACTCTTCATATTTTCACCCTTTCATACTTCATCCTTAAAGTTAGAAATAGTCGTTATTTCTCTTTAAAATAAATTTCGATTTTTGTTTAAAAGAAACATTCGCGGTATAATTGCAATTTTCGTTTTACAATCATCAGCCGCGTTATATTGTATTTTAAAGTATTCTATATAGTTGAGCAAAAAAACACACAGTCTGGATCAGAAAATGCACTGATCATTTCTTTAGTTAAAAGCTGGATTTCCTAAATTTACTCCTGAAGTTTCTTATACACTATAACCTCCCTGTAAAGGACACCTAATTGCAGAACCAAAGTGTCCTTTAGGGAGAGGCGTCCTCTTACAAGAAAATATCTCAAATAGTAAAAATGATAATTTGTAAATGAAAACTGTCCTTTATAGAGAGGTGTCCTCTAACGTGTCCTCTCATGGAGGTTCTACTGTATCTCAATATAAAAAAACCACAGAAATTCTCCAACATATTACAGTAGAACTACCTCCCTGTAAAGGACAACACCTAGTTGTAGAGCCAAAGTCTTCTTTACAGAAAGGTGTCCTTTTAACAGCAAGTTGCTAATTAGTAAAAAGGACAATTTTGGTGATTAAAACTGTCCTTTGTAGAGAGGTGTCCTCTAGCGGGAGTGTCTTCCCGTGGAGGTTCAACTGTATCCCATTATCAGAAGAGTGGATTTTTACCACACAAATTCTCCAACACACATTCAACATATTACAGTAGAACTACCTCCCTTTAAAGGACAACACCTAGTTGGAGAGACAAAGTCTCTTTTAGGGAGAGGTGTCATTTTACCAGAGAGATGCTAATTAGTAAAAATTATAATTTGGTTGATTAAAACTGTCCTTTGTAGAGAGATGTCCTCTTGTGGAGGTTCTCCAGTATCTTCTATTCAGCCAGCTATAATACAACACCTTTCAAATTACCGTTTAATTCAACTCTCTTTCAAATCTCAATCAGTCTGTTTAGTTTAACATCAATCTATCTCAATGCATACCTTAATTCAATTACCCCTTCAAGTGTTGACAACGAGCAGTGAATTTTTAAATTAATGATATTTATTTTGATTGAATTAATATTCATTTGAATATATATAATTTGACCACAGACTTTAATTCAACCAAAATTTCTAATTCCTTGTTGTTGTTTCTTATCCCCTTGTGTAAAGATTATACAAATTCCATAAGTTCATGCTCCTCGAGCTATTTCTTGGAATGGGGTGTAGCTTTCGTTGATCATGGCACCATGGTCTAGGCACACTTTGGTGAAAGTCTGACTTTGCTTGTCTAATTCCTTAAAGTATTGAATTGAAAAAGTTTGAAAACTGTAGTTAATTACCTGCTGTCTAATTCCGCCCTTGCTGGTCCCAAGCCCGGATGAAAAAGGATGAGGGGGAGCAGTAACAAGCTCACTAAAAAACCTGGGTTCAGCTGGCCCGGCTGATAGTACCCTGTTAGGGCTCCTAATCCAGGGATACAGGATGAGCAGCGTTTGTACTCCATGTTAGGAGCGGCTGCACATGGTGTCTGTTCCTCATGTCAGAGGCGGCCATTTATTTTGGAGCTAAGTCGGCCTGCCACTGAGTAGTGCTCCCAGTCTTAATGACAAAGGCAGACGCATTCTACTTCACCCAGTGTGGAGATAAGAAAGAAGAAGAAGACTTGCTGTCTTTTGTGAGGATATGTTTGCATCAATGTGGATTTAAATATCAGAATTTCTTCCTCTTTGTTATATAAACTGAAAATTATTTTGACATTTTTATATTTTAAAATGAAAAAAAAAAAAAAAAAGAAAAAGGTTTTTACAAGGTTGAATTTATGAATCCTCTTGCTATTAGGTTATTACCCCTCTATGGAAGAGGCTGCTGCTTATTATCAAACATAGCTTGAAGAGCAGGGACTCATGGAATCTGTATAATCTTTACAAGGGGATAAGAAACAACATCTCTACAAAGGACAATTGACACCACCAAAATTACCATGGGGGTCGGTAGAAGGATGGTCTAAACCATTGGTTTTTGACCGCTATGACCCGGGTTCGATTTCTGATTTAAAAAAAATGCTCCAATGGCCCTCAATTCTTGCAAAAGTCCAACCCCACCAGCAAGTGCAAGTAATCAAACGGGGCTTTGGCACATTTGTAAGTGCAAAGTCGAACTGCTTTTCACATGTGTAGACATGTGATGCACTTACAGTCAAAGCAGTCGCCTACTTCTACCCACCATGATTATCAGGCCTGTACCACGTGTACTAGGGATAAGCAAAAAAAAAAAAATTAGGTTCCAAGTAATATAGAGTAAATGCCAGGTAGTTTTGTATAATTACTGAATACTCATTCATCCTTGAGTGTTCTCTTTATTTTCCGGGGACCCAATCCGGCCTAACCTGCTTCTTCCCCAACGGAGATCCTGTCCCTAGCCTCTCCAGCCTGCTCATAGTGTTTTGTATATATTCCGCTTTATGCAGCCATTGGGACTCAAAAATCATTTTATTTTGGTTAACAGCCCTGGAAATAAAGATATTAAGAGATATTCCCTGTTCTACTTTATTTTTATATTAACCAGCAGATATACAAGTGAAAAAATCACACAAATGTGATATTGTACTGGGATATGGTTCATAAATTAAGAAAAGAAAAAAGGGAACTCCTTATGGTGCAACTGAAAGTTGCTGATGACTTGTGCCATCTATCGGAATAAATATCAACTATCCGTTGATTATTTATTATTTCAGAATTGACCAAATACCCATTCTTGATTAATCAAGAAAAGCTTACCATGTACGTGTTTAGGGCTGTTGGCCCTCGTCATTGTGGTGTAAGCTGTACCTCAACGACCAAAAAACTGGTTATTATCATTTGGTCATTAAGGTACAGCTTGCACCACACTGACTAAACATGTCTGTGGTTAGCTTTTCTTGATTAATTAAGAATGGGTATTTAGCCAATTCTGAAATAATTACAAATAAAAAATTATTTGATATTTTATTTATTTATGCTTATGAGGTGATACAGCAGCGTATTTACAATTAGAGAGGAGACAAAATGAATTAAATCTAGAAAAAAGAAGTGAGGACATATCGGTCATTAAAGTCTGAGAGGCAAGTCCTTCAGCCAGTTCAGGGCTTCCGGGGTGACAGAATGGAGATTGGAGATTCCTCCATTGAATTTGTACAGCGGGCAGTCATCTAGTATATGGGACATTGATTGTGGGACGTTGCAGGCACAATTTGGATCTTTGGTGTAGCCCCATAACTTCATTTGATATTTATTCCAATAGATGGCGCAAGCCATCAGAAACTTTCAATTGCACGATAAGGAGATCCCCTTTTTTCTTAAGATATACCAGTGTAATTAAAATGATAATCCTAGATGATACATAATGATAAAATGAGAAAAACTTAAGAGAAAAAGGTTTATTTAAGGCTGTGACCTCCCAGTCTAAACAAAAGCCTTCCATTAAGGCTCTATGCTATGGTCCAACTGCCTGATAAACCCAGCAGTTGGCCACCAAAATATAAACAACTTTTATTTACAACAAAGCGAGAGAGAGGGGTACAATAAGGCGGCAGAGTGCTATGTCACACACACTTCAATTGGGGGTTTTCTTGTGGAAGGTCTGAGGTAGGCTGTACAGACCGGCCTGATTCTCCACCAGGTCCTGCATACGCTGGTACCAGCTCTTGAGCTCCATGTTCTTGGCCACCACCTCCTTGAAGGCCTGGCAGCCTTCGATGCTGTTCAGGACCCCGAACACCGCCTGCCACAGCAGTGGTTAGCTCTACTTCACAGTAGAAGGTTTCATGGTTGGACAACAACAACAGACATGTAGGAAAGTGGGATTTACAACTATCTGAGTACGGTCAGATATATATATATATATATGAAAAAACCTTCTCCAAGCTGACGAGCGCCAACAGCGCGAAACGGGTTCGTGGATGGCTTTTCTTTATTTATCAAGAAATTGGGTTGGCCAAATATCTCGGAGCAAGCTAAATAAACGTTTAGTTTATTTTTGCTCCACTAGATGGCGCTCTGCCATCTAAAAAGCACATGTGCTCGTGGTCAGGAGATGCCTTCTTTATTTTTAATATATATATATGTCGTGATCTCCAAAGTCCACTAATAAGGGAGAAATATATCACTCCTAACTAGACGGCTTTTCAAGATTTATACTTAGTTTTTGCAGTCATTGGCCAGAGGTTCTCCTTTGTTAAAGAAGACACGGACACACGATGGATTTTGGAAATAAGAAGCTCCCAAACAAAAATAATGAAAATAAGGTGGTTCTTAAAGCATGGGTGATTTGAGATGTGTACAAGGTGTTTGATGGAAAGTTGGTTAAAAGTCCTGAAGGAGATGGGATATTCAGTAGCTTGAAGTCAGGACTGGACTGTGTGATCAAGAGACTGACCCACATAACTGACTATGTGGAGAGAGTTTGACTTTTACATTTTCAAGATATTTTTCTGGTGAGAATCTACAAAATATATTTGAAGGTCAACGCAGAATCTTTTATACAACTTGGAGAGTGGCATCACATAGAAGGATAATATAGGCTTGCAACCATCTTAATATCAACTATTTGTTGATTTATAATTATTCCAGAATTGGCCAAATACCCTTTCTTAATTAATCAAGAAATGCTAACAATGTATGCTGAACCTCAACGACCAAATAAACTGATCTTAGGGGCATCCTGAATAATCATGAAACAGGAATTTAGGCCTGAAGGGAGTGAGAACACCAAACTATGTGAAAAATAGTAAAAAAGAGAAGTTTTACTGGGATCAGGTGAATGAATTAAGAAAAAAACATCTTCACATGGCACAAGCCATCAGCAACTTATAGATGCACGATTAGGAGATGCCGTTTTCTCAATTGAAGTTTTAAGTTTTTTGTGCAATAAATTGATAAAGAGGGAGCAAATAGACAGCAACAAACAACACTAACAAGATTTAGAACAGGC